GCCCAGACATGGCTGTGGAATGTCTCGGTGCCCAGGAGCTATGGATACTGGGGTCTGCAGGGTCTGCTGAGGGGGATGGATAAGGAAGTGTGCTCCCCCAACACATACACATTCACACATAGACACAATGAAGTACACATGCTGCCCAGCTTCTGGGGGCTTCTATGGGGACACAGAGAGTGTAAGGGCTGGTGAGGGCAGAGAATTTTCTGCTCTGAGGTCCAGCTTTGGGGTCTCAGTCACTGGACCCCTTCTCAACCCAGGATCTCATCCTCTGGGCTGGGCTGGGGTTAGCTTTGCTCCTTCTTGGGTCTCTCAGGCAGGGCACAAACCAGGACCCCCAAAGGTGAGGCAGGATGTGTTGGCCCCAGGGGGGACGCTCCTGATGTCCCAAAGGGGAGAGATGGGGACAGAAGGGGAGGGGCTTGGGCTGTAGGACACAACTGCACCAGTGAGGCTGTTCTTTGGACTGGGTCTCTGCCCACCCCACCCCCAGGGGAGCGTCACCCAGGAGGTCCCGGCAGGGAGTACACACTGGTCTACCTTTTCTCACCCTTCCCCGATCCCCCACTGCACTGCATCTTGCGGGGGGGCACTGTCCAGAGTGATAGGTTTCCTTTTTTAAACCTTGTTTCCCTCGGTCTTGGTATAATTTCAGATTAATCTTCAATTCGCTGTGCACCACCCACCCTTAGCTTCACTTTCCTGTGTACTCCACCCCACCTGGGCCAAGGGTTCCTAACAGAATCCGGAGGGATTTCTGTCTACCCAGAAGCTTTTGTCAGTGAGGCATTTGTTGCCATCTAAGAAAGTGGAAACTCCTATTGAATTTTCCTAGCGGGACCAGCCTGCACATCTATTTCCTCTACACACTCGCTAATTGCCAACTTAGAGTATGGGACTAAATAGCTAGAAAAGTCTGAAAGGGGCGCACCCAACCCGGGGAGGTCAAAAGAGTGGCCTCGGGTCTCCTGGGGCCCCAGGACCTGTCTGCAGCAGGGAGCTGACCACGGCCCTCCGCTGGGCGGCCCGGGCCTCTCCTAGCACGTTCGCTGCCTATGTCTGTTTAGAAAGAAAATAATGCTCGGAGGAGAAATGAGGAACTTAATAGGATTTTAAAAGCCGCAGGAACCAATGGGGCTACAGATGGTGGAGGGGCTGGGAGGACGGAATCAGCCACGGTTTTATGGTGGGGAACGTGGCCTCGGGGAGGGCCTCAGAGCCGCGGTCACATGCATTGTGTCCAACCTCATTAGCCAGCCTGGCGGGACTCCACTGCCACATGAGTGTGGGCCACGGTGACGGGGGACAGCAGCCCTGAAGACGCCCGTAAATGAACGCAGGAGCCGCGAGGGTTGGAGGACGGCCGCCTGGTGAACTGACCTGCCCGCGCCTGCCTCAGGGACCCAGTGCACAGGCAGTGGCTCTCAGGCTGTCACACCTGCCACCAACCTTCCATGCCTTCCCGGCCTTCCCAGGTTCTCTGCGCAAACCTGCCCTGCCATTGCTGATACCAACCCCACCCCCAGCCCCCAGCAGACTGACTGAAACAGGAGGGAGAGACGGAGCTGGGGAAGAGAGGCAGACAGGGGCTCCCAGTTCTGGAGAAGGAGGACAGGAATGGAAACTGCTGTGGGGTCCTTCAACCGAGGTGATTCTGAAGGACTTGGTGGGCACAGGGAGACATAAAAGAAGCTCCTTCACCCTCTAGAAGCTTCCCTAGGGGGTAGCTTACTGCAACGACCCCACCAGGGTCCCCTTCATGGCTGGAGCTCAAGCCCCACCCCCCCATATGTCTCCAAACCTCCTCCAGGCCTTTAGCCAGTAGTGGAACAACAGGACTTTGTAACAGGGAGCTCTGCCCTCCTGCCGGTGTCCACCCTCCCCCATCACCTGGCCTCTGGCTGACTCTCCTGACTCTCGCCTTGGATTCAGTGACAGCTGCTCCTTTGGCCCCTCTCCTCTGGGCCTCCTCAATCCTCCCTGAAGGGGCCAGGGAAGAGACTCAGTGGTGCCTCTCCCAGGGGAGGCCTCACATACTCCAGCTAAGCCAGAGTCCTCTGGAGCATGTGTGCGTGCGTGTGTGTGTGTGTGTGTGTGTGTGTGTGTGTGTGTGTGGCTTCCCTGCAGCCATGGCACCCAGTTCAGATGCTGACCATGAACCAGCTCGTGGGGCGGGACACACCTGCCTAGTGCCGGTGAAGGAACACAGCGCCTCCCCTATAGGGAGGGTCCCTGCCTCTGAGATGGCCGGAACAGGTAGGGTGCCCTCCCCAGGCTCCTTTCTGTCCCCAGCCTGCCTCATCCTTCCGGTTAATGAATTGGTTTGCTCATCTGACGGTGGCTCAGTTTAAATTTAACTTGCTCCACTGAGCTCTGTGGGGTGAACTGATCCTCCTTGCGGAGAGAGGGCGCCTTCCCTGCCTGACTGGAGCGCTGCTCTCGGGGGCGGCTGCTGGGGCCGCTCCTCTCTGCCTGCGCAGAGACATCACAGCCTTGATGCCCTCTCTCTGCCTGGTCCCCCCACCAGGATCCACGGCTCCTACTCCTGATGGAGACAAGCCCAACCTCTCGGCCTTGTGTTCAGGGCCCCATTTTCACTTTGCGTCCTCCCTGTTTCCGGCCAAGTCTACCCCTCTTGGTCCAGTTCCCTCCAGGAATCCCTCGCCGCCTGCTCCAGGCCACAGCAAGCTCTCTTCTTTGCCCGCCCCCCCCCCCAGTCGTGGGGTCTCCTGTCTCATGGGCTGGTCTGGATTTGGCTTCGCCCTGCCCCCCTCACCTGAGACCCTGCTCTTCTCCCCTCAGCCGCCTTCCACACCCTTCTCTGTTCCCATTTCTTTCACCTTTTTTCATGTTCACCTCTTTCAATCCTCTTTCCACCGGAAGAAGTATGTAATGGATATTAAATTACTTTAAACTGACTTTCTTTCTTTCTTTCTTTCTTTCTTTCTTTCTTTCTTTCTTTTTAAAATAGCTCGGTGATACTGCTGACTCAGGATCATCTCACTGTTTAATATTGAATATGCAATTAATAGATAGATGTTTAGGTTTGGCTCTTTTTCCCCCCTTTCCACTGCAGGAAGAGTAAAAGGGCTGATTAATCTGGTTTGGGGCAAGTGTCAGCGGCAGGAGATATATGGGAGAAAGGAGATGAGGTTAGCAACTTGGAGTCAGAAAGCTATTGCCTCCAAGGCAAGTGAAGGAGAAGAGGGTTTGCATTTGAGCTCAGTGTGGCCTCGCTGGGCACGGTGTTTCCGATACCCCACCCCGAGCCCAGCCTCGAGAAAACCGGCTGAACTCTGAGCTATGGGCTCTGTACCCGAGGGGCCCCCTGTTCCCCCACAGGTCCCCCCCATGGGGCCTTTTTCATGCCACCCTGACTTCTTTTCCAGGTGTGGAAACTCCCCTCCTTCAAGGCCAGCTCAGGCGCCAAGGTATCTGGCTGCCCCCATTTCAGGGGCCCCTTCTCTGGGACTGCAGTTTCCGCTTACTGTTCGGGCTCCCTCCTGTGCACCAGAGATCCACCCCCCTGCCAGGGACACGGGCTCTTCACTGCATCCTGACTCTGCTACCTGAACAGGGTGTGGCAGGTGAGTCACTGCATGACGGGGTGACCTTGGGGCCTAGGGCCTGCTGGGCCTGCCTCCCAGAGACAGTCTCTAGGAGAGGACCCTGGCTCCTTGGGGCCACCAAGGTGAAGTCCTGCATGAGGTGGGACAGTACTCCCCACCAGGGCAAGGATGCCTAGAGCTGGGTACTTGACAAGTCTCTGGGTGTACAGCAAACTGAAGTCACTGGACAGTCAGGAACCGGATAGGTTCAGCGTGAACCAGGTAGGTATCCCCTGCCTGGGCCCTTTTCACTTGAGCCATTTTTGCCTCTCAACTGACCCACCTCTGCTCGCAGGGTCCTCAGGATGGGAAGCTCTGAGAAGGCCAGAGGGAGGTGTGTCAATTCCCCGGGGTCATGGGACCCCTTTGGGCAGCACCCAGATTCCAGCTGGGCTCGGGGAGTGGGGTGTGAGATTTGAAGCCCAAGTCAGGAAGGTCCTAGACATAGAGGCCCTGTGCCCAGGTCAGGGTCTTGCTAGGACCCAGAGGGCAGCAGCCTGAGCTGGAGGGACCCCAGGTCTCAGGGGCAGGCAGGCCTCCTGTGGCCACACTACAGTTTTCTCTGGGCAAGGACCTTGACTCTGAATTTCCAAGTAGCTTTTGCCAATTTTACTTTTGGCTCTTAATTTCCTAGAACAGTTTTTGTAGGGAGGGCGGAGAGGGGAGAGGGAAATTGCTCAGTGCCTGTCTAAGCAGAGAGGGGAGTGACCAGTCCAGACCAAAGCCCGGGGTAGAGGTGCTTGGCAAAGGGAGCCAGGAGCCCGAGCTAGTGCAGCCTCTCTGTGCCATGGTGGCAGGGCCGTCGCTGGTGGCAGGGCCGTTGCTGGTGGAGGGCCCAGAGCTTCCTCGGGGAGTGGGGCTCTGAGCTTGTGGGGTGTGGCTGTGCCCTCCCACTATGTCCCCTTCCAGACATCTCCCGGTCTGCCTGGATCTGTCTCCAGGATCTTGACCTCAGCGGTCCCAAGCCCCCACCGAGGCCCTTCTCAGATTTGCTGGCTCTGGCCTGAACCTTCCCAGGTTCCAGCCCCTCTTCCCCAGCCTAGCACCCTTTCAACTGCTCATGCTCCATCAGAAGGGGGTTTCTTTGGCGACATGGAAGTGGGCACACCCTTTTGGGGTTCCTAAAGGAGGCATGAGAGTGCCCCATGACATGATAGTTGTTCACTTACAGGAAGGAAGGAACCCCAGCATCTGACAGACCCCATTTACCTCCTTGCTTCCTTTTGCTCTCCCCCCACACCGGTCACCCAGAGCTCCAAAGTCCTGTCCCAGCACCCAGCCATGAGTTCCCAGGGCGGGAGGCGAGGGCAGGGAGTCGCTGCATCGGCGCATCAGGGATGGGGGGAGGGTTGGGTCCAGGGAGGGGGGCAGAGACAAGTGAGCCCTCACGTGAAGGGGGCTGGCGCAGGCAGCTACTACCTCCTCGGCTCTCGCTGTCCGCTGGCTTCACCTGGATCGGCCGGTTCATCTGCAACAGAGCACAGGGGATGTTGTCAGAGCAGGCCTGGAACGAGGGGGCAGACACCCACACCCAAAGGCACACAGGTGTTCACAGGGACCGAGGCACACGGACCGCACCTGCCCACCCACACACCCATGCAACCGCGGGCCTGTGCAGGGGCACCAACCCCCATCCCCTCCCCTCGCCTGTGCAGTCCCTAGGGCCCCCAGGAGGGCCTCTCTGGATCGTGGGCTCTGAGGTGTCCCCCACCCTGCCTTGGAGCCTCTCTCATTAGCTTGTGACTTTAGCATCTAAGGTGTCCCCACAGTGCATCTCTGGCCAGCCCGGGTTCACCAGAGACAGCTGGCTTTGCCAAAAAGAGCTGGTCTCTAGACACCTCATGCCGTCTCGCAGATGTGAGCTGTGGGTCCTAGGGTGCCCTCATGAGGCTTTGGGCCCCCCTCACCAGCTCCTCGTTGGAGCTGGCTCAGGGCTGTGGCTCCTGACCACAGCTAGCTCTGCCCCTTGGGGGTGTGTGCAGTGGGCACAGCTCCTTGTCTCCCATGGTATCTAGGGGACAGGAGGACACCAGGACACCGCCTGACCCCCAACGCGTCTGGGAGGCCCATCTCTCTCTCTCTCTCTCTCTCTCTCTCTCTCCTTCCAGGACCCACGTCAGTGCCTCGATCAGGCCACTAGGGGTCTCTGAACTCCAAGCATCGCGGCTCCGCTCAGCGCCGGTCTGATTCCTCCCTGCTGCCTGCCGTGGAGGCAGCGGGGTGGGCTCGCCAGCCGAGGCCCCAAGATATTCCAGACAATAAAAACGGAAGGAATCATGCAAATGGAACCCTACGTTATGTTTTTTCCAGTGCTTTCGCCTGTCCAGCACCTCCTTAGCCCTCACTGCATTTTCATTTCTCACACAAACATACCCTGACAGGCACACCGGGCAGGGACTGGCACCCCCATTTCATAGATGGAGATGCTGAGGCAGAGCCACCCCGCGGCCAGATGAGCCCAGGACGCCGAGTCAGCCAGGGCTGTTTCTAGGCTCCCGGGCTGCACCAGGTGACTCTGTCGCCTGTTCCCCTCGTGTGCCGAGGCTGGACCAGCCAGCCCTAGACCTGGCTGGCTGGTCTAGGATTCGAAGTGAGTTGTGGCTGCGTCAAGACAAGTGGGTGGGGGAGTGTGGGTGCCCGTGACTCAGCAAGGTGAGGACAAGGCCAGGGGAAGGGCAGAGCCACCACGAGGAAGGACAGAGAGGCGGGAGGCAGGGCACAGAGCAGAGGACATGAGACACAGGTGGCCTGTGCAGGGGCAAGACAGGACTCTGGGGCCAGCCCACCAAGATGGGGTCAGAGCGTCATGTTTGCCACGGGACTTGGCACGCCTTACGGAGTTGAGGGGGAGAAAGCTACTTTGTATGTAAGCTCCGCCAGAGAGGAGACTGTGGTGTTACAGAAAAGCTCCAATCACAGGGAGCAGGAAGAGGGACGTAATGAAGTTCCTGGCTTCGTTTAGGGGGTCCTGGACTCCCTGCTCCATACACAGCCTCCTCTGCAGCTCTTGAGCAAAGGGCGCAGAAGGCCGAGCAGGCTTCTGGCTCTGGGGGAAGGGCTCCAGGAGGGAGCCAGGGCCCTCCTGGTTCCCCATCCAGTGCCTTTTGGGACTCAGTATCCAACCCTTTTCTAGAATGTCCCTTCTTTATGGAACACCCTGAAATTAAACAAGGTAAATTAAACAGGGCCAGTGGACTCTGCCTGTGCATGGAGGCTTCTACCTCAGGGGCACCCCATTCCCAGGCAGCCAGCCTGTCCCACTACGTGGGCAATCAAGAATACTCTGTCCCAGGCTCATGGACGTGGGGCGAATTTCCAGCCCTTCCAGCCCCCAGCCCCACCCTAGCCCTCCCTGACCTCCTCCATGACTCAGTGGTAGGCTCTGATTTCTGGGCTTCCTGGCAACAGCCCCTTCCTGGTCCAGGGGCTCATCTGACTTCCCGCCCTCCCCCCAGCCATGGGCTAGGCACCCACGGGATGTTCCACACAGATGGGTGGACTGGAGCTGAGCTGGTTCCCAGGGACCTGTGGCTTCTGGGGTCATTTTTCATGTTTTATTATGATCTAGGGATGGTCAGCAACCAGACAGCCTTCACGGGGCTGTCGAAGAGGTGCCAGTCTTGATGGAGAGATAAAATACGGCCTGGTGCTTTCTTAATTCTCAGCAGAAATAAAGTGTCAGGCTCCGCTGGGAAGATTTCTCAGCTGGAGCAGGTTCTGTACAGATGCCTGGGGTCTGGAGGGAGATCTCCCTCTGCCAGTGTCTCCTGTCCCTGTTCCAGACTCCAGCCCTGTCCAGCCTCACCAAGGCCTGGTTCTGCCCTGAGGAGGAGGAGTGAGCCTGTCCTGGGGAGAAGAGGCTGTGCCGGGCAGGAGAGATGGTGGTGAGGAAGGGAACATCGAGAGGTGATGGGTAGGATGGGGGAGGGGCCCTGCCACCTTGTCCTTCTTCTAACTTTGCCCCCTCAGACCCTGGCCTCTAGGAGCCGCTGGCCACACGGCCCCAGGCTGTCCCTTACAGGTGAATAGCATGCTTCAAGGACACTGGAGCCTGCTTCTTGGGGCCTTTTCTCTCCCATGTCTGTTGCTCCTCTCTCCAGGCATCCCCCTCAGTCTTTGTATTATCTTTCCAGGAGGGCCTGGGCCTGGGAGCTGGTGGGACCTGGGCTGGTGTGCAGGTGCCCCCCTTGCTGATTCTCTTTCTGAGGTGTCGTCTGTGTCCCTCTGTGACCTTCCACCTGGGTTGTGCCTTTGCATGCCTGCAGCAGGGAGTGGGAGGGCAGAGAGGGGTGGCAACTCAGGGCTGCCCCCCTGGGTCAGGAACAGCTCCCTGAAGGCACCCTGAAGTCTTCTGGGGTCGGTCCTTCGGGGACATCACCAACTCTTTTACTGTGTTTCTGCTTCCAGCTCGGGGTCCTATCACGGGGAGTGAGTGGTTGTGGCCCAGGTTTTGGGGTCCTCCCTGTCGCTATTGCAGCAGAAGGCTGGTGCTGGCTTCTTCTGCCAGTTCTGCCTCCCCTCCCCCTCCCCATCTCTGCCACTTTTTGCATCAACACATATCCATGCATTAAACAAGACATTCCATTAATTTCTTCATCATCATAACTTAAGCTGGGACATACCCTTTAAATATTCATTCAGCTATGAAAACTGGGCATTAAAATTTTAATAATGTCAAGCTCATTTGAACCAGGCTCCTTGGGGACGATTACGATACAATTAGAATAAATACGATGATTGAGCCGGTCCAAAGGCTTCACCTGTCTGTCCAACGTGGCTTCTTGCAGAGAGAGAGGTCTGTGGCCAGTGAGCAGGCAGACAGATTGACAGACAGGCCAGCCTGGCTCTTTCTTGACTCCCCCTCCCCTTCCCATATGCCCTCCTCTGCATGTGGGTTCTCCTCTGTCAGCTCTACCATCCCACAGGTGTCTGCAGCTCTCTGCCGCCCCCTGAGGGCCAGGGGACGGAAGCACCCCTCCCCCATCTGGGAAGACGGCCCTGAGTAACCCCCAGTTCCAGATACCCGCCTTTTCTTGTCCTCCCAGGTGCAACCTGGACTGGGCTCCTGGGCTGGTTCCCATATGAAGGCCATTTTCCCAATCGTCTGTATCCTCTTCCCTGCCCCACAAGGGGCTCCCTGGAATGAACAACCTACCAGAGCAAGGCCAGCCTGCAGATGGGGCCACAGGTCCCTTAATGCCCAGATGTGTTCTGCCACCAAACTAGGAAGGGACTGACTTCACCCAGCTCCCCACCCCCAACCCCGCAACTGTCTACCTGAGAGCTGACATGGAGGTTGGGGACAGGAGCTGAGTCCCTTGGCCCCTCACTCCTTAAGCCAGTTCTAGCAAGAGCCCTGGGGACATCCACTCATGAACTTGCTCTGGCTTCCCTTGGGACAGCCCTCACACCAGCAGGATCCTTAAGGCCCTCCACCTGCCTTCTTAGGCACCTGAGCCCTCTGCTTCACACCAGGTCCCCAGGCAGTTGACCCAAAGCTGTTTCAGAAATAAAAAGACCTGGAAAGTTCTCTGTCATTCCTCACTGGCCATCCTCAACAATCCTCCTCTATCAAGAAGCCTTTGCTGGTTATCTCTTGGCTCTCTTGGTCACACATGACCTTGTATTACTTTGTGCGCTCTCTCTCTCCTCTCGTAGCATGTGTGTGCATGAATGTGTGTGTGTGTGTGTGTGTGTGTGTGTGTGACAAACAAAAATAGGCACTTATTCCTCAAGCAAGAACAGGGACCCAGTTTCCTACCCACAGACCCCCTAGACACTAACTCAGGACTAGGCTCCCCTGGAGAGAAAAAGAGAGAGAGATAGAGTGTGTGTGTGTGTGTGTGTGTGTGTGTGTGTGCACGCACGTGTGCATACATGTTTGAGTAGTACTTGGAGGACATTACAGACATCTTCAAAGAATTCATTTTAGCGGGAGACTGGGAATAAACAAGATAAGGGAGCAAACTAGCGTAGTTCCTTCTGTTTTGTAGCCTCTCCATAAACCTCATCCTCCATGTTGCTTTCCAGTCTGTGGCCCATGTCTTGGAAGATCTGGACTGAAGCCCCGCACAGGGCCAGGGTGGGCAGAGGATGGTTGGTGTGGCAGAGACGACTGTGGTGGCCTACAGGAATGGCCAGGGTGCTCTCCACCCAGCCCCTGTGTCCCCAAATGTAATTCCAGGGTGGGTATTCAAACCTCAGTGCTGAGTGAGGGTCCTTTCAGGCTCCACTGGGACGTGTGCGAGCCTGCCGGCACCCAGCTCCCATGCTCACTGGAGGGGCTCACCTCTCCCCAAGCCATGGTGTAGTGTGGAAATGCCTATTCTTCTCTTGCTTTGTTCACTGAAGGTATCTCTTATCTTTCTCCCTTCCCAACCTCTCCTGGGCTCGTGAGGAGCCTGACTCCTGTTCCTCATTAGTCCACACTGTTTGTTCTCATCCCCTCAAAGAATCAACTTTTATATT